CATTTGAACACTAATGCTGGCGAACATGTTAACCAAGTTATTAGAAAATCTTTTGCATATTTAAGAGGTCTGAACCTTTCTGTGAAGTATACACCTATTGACATGCGTGTTTTGTTGGTAAAACAACTAATTGTTCCTATTGTTATGTACTCCCCTTTAGTGTACTCAACACTTGATGTTGAGTCCCTCAATAAGTTACGATACCTAGTAAACTGCTGCACGCGATATGCTTTTGGCCTTAGACGCTTCGATCACTTGGATATTTATAGAAATGTGATTCTAGGGTGTGATATTGAACAATATATGCAGTTTCGAGTATGCTTATTTTTGTTCAGACTTTTATCCACTACTACGCCGAAGTACCTTTTTGATTGCTTGCAGCTAACTAGATCTAACAGATCTCGTCTTTTCATCATTCCCAGATTTAGTTTTGCCTCCACTACTAAGTTTTTCTTTATTTAGTCTGTTAGAATATGAAATGCTCTTTCAAGCACAACCAGAAATGCAGTTAACCCGAGTGTTTTTAAGAAACTGTTAAAAAATTAACTGGGTTAACGTCACGTTTATTTGTCTTTATTAATTTCTTTCCTTTTTTTTATTCATTGATTTGGTTGTTTTTTGCTGCTATATAATTAAGTTTATTGTAATTTGTTTGTTATTAACTTAAATTCTGTTATTTAAATATTTCATGCTGTTTTCTTTTTGTTTCGCTGTTAATCAGTAAATATAAGTTTAATACTTTTTACGTATGTTATTACTATATTCTCTGAAAACTTTAATTACTTCTTTTATTTTATTTTATTTTATTGTTTTTTTTATTTTTATTTTAATTCTTTAAATTAGCTTTAAGGTACTGCAATAAAAAGGGTTGTCCCTTAATGCATTTAAATAAATAAGTAAAAAAAAATATACATGTTTTTATAGTTTTTCATTATTAGCCCTATGACGTCCATTCCTCTGACCCATGGCTCTTGCACGATGCTGACGTCGACGTCCTCCTCAACTAGAAAGATGGAGAGATTATCCGAGGCGGTTTTCGAATGCTGAAGTTTGATTTGTGCTACTTTCAGTATTCGAGCAGGATTACGAGGTCTCTAAAGCTTAATGTCGTCAAGCAATTTGTTAGCATCCTCTAACTCCTTGCCTTCATAATCGTTACCTGTTTGGCGAAAAATCTCGATTTTCGTATATCTTGCGCCAAACCTTAGTTTACAGTCCAGTTCTTCTAGTGGCTTCCTCGTTTATCACCAGAAGAAGCGTCATATTGTTTTTTTGGATGCCATCGTCCTTGATGACTACCCAGTCATTCATTGGCAAGTTTTGGTTTTGTCGCTGTAAAATTTGGAGTACTTTCCCGTGCTCTATTTTCATGATTGGCAACCAAATGTGCGTCCTTATTCTTCTTGTAATTTTATTGGCTGGGATAAACTTAACTCTTAAACCTTCCCATGCATCACTTACCTTAGCAATGCAGTTGCCAAGAAATTCCTCGGATAACTGGTCATCGCATATGAAGACCATGCAGCCAAAGCCAAGTGTGGGGACGTCTAGATTTGTCAAAAGGTGTTCCATCACCATTTCAGCTAACCCATTGCCGGTAATTTCGTCAATGAGCGCCACTTGTAGCTCATCCCTTGCTATGTCACTATACACCCTTTTGCGCTGTTGACGATTTACCAATGGGTGTTGTTTTTAAAACTTTGCTTCTAGAAGTATGGGGTTCTGCTGGCAATAATTTCATTATCTACCTAAGTATTTAATCAATATGCTGAGTTTTTGGCTAAAATTTATTTTTGGTATTATAGGTCTCATAAGAGAGTTTTCTGCGCTGTAGTGGTCTGTCAATATTGTGAGATCTACATCGGTGTGTGCATGCTGTTTACTTACAGACCGACAGTTGTTGTAGCCCGCCGGGATCTGAAACATGTAACATGTAAATAACATAATCATGTAAATCCGCCCCCGTCTAAATGCAAGAATTGTAAACTGCTTCTATGAATTTGGAGAAACGGTTAAATGGCACGATCAACTTATCACCATTTAAATTGTTGGTACTTGTTTACTCCATATTTATAGAAACAGTAGTGTGGCGCAATTTTCCTGTAAAAAAAATGTATTTTTAGTAATATTTTCAAATAACAAACTTCTTATTTCAACAATCAAGTTGAGAGGTTGTAATATTTTATAAACAACATTACTTGTAAGGATTACAAGACGAATACATGAATGAATGGGTGGGTGGGGTGGTGTGGGGTTAGAGTTGTGGGGGTTATAATTAAAATCAACCAGGGTTCAACCATAGAACCCTAGCTATCTCAAGGGGATAAGTCCAAAGGTTGATTGAACTAAAATCAGTGTGTGTAATGGGACAACAGAACAGATGTGCGACGTCATGAGGGGGAGGGGGGTGGAGCTACACACATTAGGAATGGACGTGTGCATGCGTGACAAGTAACTGTTAAGCACAAGGCTATATACTGACCTCAATTGAGCTAGGACAGTTCTTGCTACACGATGGAGACGACGGTCATCGTGGGAGATATTAAGCGGAGGCCTATTAAGGACCCTGTTGGGAGTCATACTAGGTTTCAAAGAAGATATTGTATCTGTATGGAGTGCTATTAGTTCACGTTTGTATTCGACCTCACTGATTTTAGCTCTATTGGCCAATTCGGTGAGGGATCGGCGGATGCATCGTTGAGGAAGGGCTCTACTGGTGTGACATGCAAGGAGAAATTGATTGGTCAGCAATTGTTTGTGTTCTTTTGAAAGAAATATTTTCGATTCCGCATGAAGGTGGTCAACACGCGACATACGCTCGCAGCCGGTTGATATCCGCAAAGCTGTGTTTTGACATGTTTGAATGTTATTTCATTGCGTCTCGCAGAGTTGCGGGGTCCATATTGGAAATGCATATGTAGTAATAGGACGACCCAGAACACCGGCGATATCTTTTAACAATTTTTTGCGGGATTTCAATCGGCTGCACAAGGTTAAAGCATGTGCGGAAAAGGTTAACATTTTGTCGACAACAACATCCAAGATTTTGGGTTTGGTGGTAGTGGTAAGATTAAAGCATGTGCGGAAAAGGTCAACATTCTGTCGAGAATGACATCAAGGATTTTGGGTTTAGTCGTAATGGGGATCATGCATTCACCGATATTAATGGAAGGAGTCATGGATACCTCTTTAGTACAGGAAATAAAGAGGGTGGCGGAGAATTTGTTTGGTGATAGGTGAAGATTTCTCTCAACCAAGAATGATGCTGCATCAGAGAAGTAACCATTTCATTTATTACACATTTTAGAAGAGTTCTTTGGTTGAGTCCATTTGAGATGTGATCTCAGAAAGGGCGGAGGTGGTGCTATGACGTTTCCTAAATCCATGCTGATGGGGAGCTAGGTAAATACATGAAGGAATCTGTTAAGACTAAAGACTCCAGAACCTTTCCTACTGGAGATAGTGAAATCGGTGTATATGATTCACCTAGGACAGCCGGTTTACCCGGTTTCAGCAGAGAGATAATCCTACCACTCTTTCATATGTTTGGGATGATGTGGGAACTGATGGAGATGTTCAAAATATGGGTCAGAACTGAAACGCCAATAACCTCGAGGTGCTTGAGCTTGAGCATTGAAATGCCATCAGGCCCAAGACCTTTCAAGGCTTTGACTTGTCTGATCACGTCATCCGGAGAAAACAGCATAGTGTCGCCGGAATGTGGCTCCTGAAAAGCGCATATCTGTCTGCGAATAGCAGGGGAGTTAGGAGCATTCGGCACGAAACGATGACAAAATTGTTGGGTGCAATGCGTGGGATCGGGGAAAGTGATCCCATTAAAAGTTATCGTGTTGTTGTTGAGGCAGAAAAGATTAGATAATGCTTTAATGGTAGCCCACAATTTACCATTTTGAGAGTCGCAATTATCTAAGTATTCCATCCACTTATTTAGGCCATGTTTTTTTTATCATTTTACGTATGTTACTGTTCAGGGTAGCTATGCTTGGCTTTGCTGGGTCAAGAAGTACGAAGATTATCACGTTCTTCGGCAAGGAACACAGCGTCACTAGAAAAATTCAGCCTTATTACTTTGATCCTACTTACAGGAACAGCTGTGGCAGCGGATTTGATAATAATGCTGCGAAATTGTTTCGCTGCCTTATTTATATCAAAAGGCAGGGAAATATTACCGAAGTCGCGTTCGGAGACGTCGATAGTTCGATGGTTGCTATTGCTTCTGTTCTGTAACTCACTTATCATATTTGACCCAGGTACCAAGCCAAATGCGCGGGAGTTATGATTTGATCCCGACACAGTAGGGTTATCCGAAGTCACCGGGTTATTTGTTTGGTTTGTGCTCTCAATTTTGGTTCTTCCATTTTATACCTTCAGGTTTTCTTTCTGGACCGCATCTAGCAGGAAAAACAAATGCCCACCTCCATTATTATTATTGAAAACTAATAAAGGTTATACTTTAATCGTTTAGACTACGTAGCACATAAACTACTAGTTTTGTAAAGTCGTATTCTGAACAGACTAGCACTTTAGCTGTTGCTTTTGAAAATTGTAACTTGGCAGACTAGCACTTGAACTGTTGCCGTACAAAGTAAAAAGTGACATTCTAGTTTCAATCTCATTTTTTATTGTTCATATTGCTGTTTATGTACAAAATTACAATAAGCGTACAATGAGTAAAATTGATACATAACCAAAATATAGTATTTACAATTTAGTATTAAATTGACAAATCAACTTAATCCAGAATATGCATTAATTTAGAAATTACAGAATTTACCAAATATACATTAATTTATAATTTAAAAAATTGACAAAATATTTAATACGGCCAAACGTTGCGCCTTTGGTGATCAATGACCAACAAAGCGTTGGCTTTATTATTATAATTATTATTATTATTATTATTATTATTATTATTATTATTATTATTATTATTATTATTATTATTATTATTATTATTATTATTATTATTACAATTACAGCATTTACTTGTCATGATCAGGGAGCTTCTAGTGTAATTTTTGCTCCACAGCATCAGCAACTAATTTCTTGCGGCAAAAAGGGGGATATATGCATTTTTGATATTAGACAACGAAGTTTAAAGCATCGTTTTCAGGTACTATATAATGAATTTCTTAAAAATATTAATTTCTGAACAAATAAATTTTTAGGCTCATGATTCTGCCATCAAATGCATTGCCTTAGATCCACATGAAGAATTTTTTGCAACTGGATCAATAGAAGGAGACGTAAAAGTAATTTAAATTTATATTTTTTCTTCTCATATTTTTTAATTATTTGATTAGATTTGGAGCCTTAATCAGTATGCATTGCTAAACAGTTTCGCTGCAGAACACGCTAAAAATAGTTTTTTTAAACATATGAGCCAAGGCGTAAGTCAGATTTATATTGATACCTTTGGCCGATTATACTCGTGTGGATCAGATGGATGCATGAAAGTTAGACAACTTGTTGAAAAAGATACTGTTGTTCAATCAATTTATTAATTAGTTCAATTTAAACTGTTGAATATATGTAATCGTTAATAAAAAAATCATCATTATTGTGACACAAATAACAGTTTTATTATGTAATGTAATTAAATATGATCTTAATAATGTGTAAGTACTATTCTCTGATAGACCTTAAGTTCTATTAAATTGGTTTAAAAATATTAATCCTTCTGTTAGTTCTTGAATGGAAGGAATATATTGTTTATTAATTTTTCGACAATTATGCTTTTTGCTTGTTAAGAGTGGTGGTATACAATTAATTTCGGTTATATTTTTAATTTGTTCTGCTTTACAAATACACAATTGATTAAATTGATTACAATGTTTTTTCATCATATAAATTTCATTGTTGCACTTTTTACAATAGTTTTGTTATTTTTTGTAGGTTTAATTAAATATTTTTTTACAAATTTTTTGCTCTATCGCTGGTAGCCTCATTATATATAATATAGTGGATTCATTTGTAGCTATTTTGATATCTGCAAACCACAAAGCTTTTTCTAAATTTTTATATGGGAGTTTTTCAGAATCTAGGAATCTTTTAACCACAAACATCTTTTTTTCGGAAAATATAAATGAATTTGTAAGTCCTATATTTTCCCATTTAACGGTGTTATAAATAAAGAGAACAAAAGAATAAATAAGTTGATTCTGGCAATACTCTTGCATTCTCATGCAAATTGTGCATTCCATTTTCTTGTATCTCTTTACTTTAGGCTTAATAAATGATTCAATTTAACAGGTTATGGGCCTATTGACACGCGGATAAAAGAAGAAATGTTAAATATTTCAAGTATTTATATTGAACGACTAAGGGGTCGTAAAAACTTTGATGTCTGGAAAAGACAAATGAAATCGTGTCTAATTATTAAAGGATACTGGAAAGTTGTGGAAAGTGGTATAACATCGGAAAAAGATGATGATGCAAACGATCGCGCATTAGCAGAAATTACAGTTATGGTTAACCCAAATAATTACAACCACATTGCAACGGCAAAAACAGCAAAAGATGCTTGGTTTGCGCTTATGAATGCATATGCGGACAAAGGTTTAACAATGTAACGACACAAATTTACACAGTAAATTTCTGTGTTACATATCGCAAGAACAAGCGAAAAAAAAAATCTGTGTGTCAACTAACTACTACCTCTATACATAATATAGATAAAAAAAAACTCACGTGAAGAAAACTGAAGTGGATTTAGTTAAAAAATATGAAATTGAATTAAAATATTTATTCTTAAATCACATGGATAGTACCTGCGTTCCTCGGTTCCAGCATGCCGCGGGCATCGATGCATGCAATGTGCAGGACCTAAAATATGCAATAAAAAAAAATGAATTTCTTGTTACAATTTATGAATGGAAAAACTTGTACTGGAATTTTAAACACAACAACAAATGAACAATTATTACAGAAAACACGTTTAATTATTTAAAAAAAATATTTATTTAAAAATATATAAATAAAATACAAAACAATTTAACACTTAGTTTGCACAATTTTTATTTCTTTATACACAAAACAACAAAACACGCCAACACCAGTTTTTTTGATTATTTATTTTGTCACATTTAGTTTTGAATAATATTAAATATATATAATTCATAATATATATCTAATATACCTTGTTTTGAATTATTAAATTAACATACTTTATTTTAAATAATAAAGTGCTAATTAAAGGAAAAAAAACTCACACACAAAAACACTACGCGTAGTAAGTACACAAAACCGCGGCGAAATAAAAGAAGAGTAAAAACATGGAAAGACACAAGAAGTACACAATATAACACAAGAAAGTTCAGCTTTACGGCGAAGTTAACTACAGCAATTAATACCGGTGCGCTACACCAAAAAGCTCCGGTATGCTCGGTATAAAAGAAGGAACATTTGATAGGGGACTTGGTTTTTGACTAGTGAAGAAGCAAGTTCTCTGGCTTATTCGGCCCTCTGGTAAATTTTACCAAGGACTTAAATTTTCACTTATACAAAGACAAGCACACTGGCCTATTGGTCTTCTGGCACATTTTGCCAAAACCTGGCTCCTTCAGCCAAATGTAGTTAGGAATTATCCTTGTCTTATGTGTATTATTTTTAACCTGGCTCATTCGGCCAAATGATTTTTTTTTCACAGCACAGAGGAACCGGGTTTTTTTTTTACAAACAGAGGAGGGGAACCCAGGACGTCACGTTGTCCTGCCAGGAGTCTTTTAACGAGTAATACACTGAGCAGTAATAATTTCTGTGTGCCGTCGTCAACGGTGATGCACATTTTTTTTTTCTTTAATTATTAAACAAAAGGAATACTTTAATTGAATTATAATTTATCATAGGCTGAACAGCTTATTCGGCAATTATTTAATTACACTTTGTTATAATAAGTTTCTTTTATGAAGTAAATAAAAATATATAATATATATATATAATCAACGTTCTTTTCTTCTAAAACTACGTCTTAGCGAAAATATAAATATATTGTCTCGACTCTGGACGACGGCTGAGGATACCCCAGCAAAAACTAAAGATTTTTGAACGTCATCCAAAAGTGTCGTTACAACAAGTAAGGTAGAATTATTGAAACAACTTGTAAATATAAAATCAGAAAACTGCAAATCCGTGCAGGAATACTTAAATGAAATAATGACGGCCTTGAAAGTAAACAGCGCTTGACTCAACATTGATGATGAGCTCACAGCGTCTTTAATACTTACTGGTCTGCCTGAAGAGTTTAAACCATTGGTGATGACTGTCGAAAATTGTAAAGACAAATTAACAGTCGATAGAGTCAAAAATTTATTAATGCAAGACTCCAAGTTTAATAATAATGAGACAAATTCGGCTTTGTAAAGTGGTGACGTGCATAAAAAAAAAATTTGTATATAAAAATACATGTCATAATTGCAAAAAAGAGAGGCATTATGTTAAAAACTGCCCAAATAAAATAACATGTTACAGAAACAATAAGCCGAATAACAGAAGAAAACGAGACGACAAAATTTTATTTTATTTGTAAAAAGCGACAATATGCAAACGTGCATTAAAGTGGTAAAATTGGACTGCGAAAAAAAGCAAGAAAGCATTTCGCAGAATTGGTATATCGATTCTGGCGCGACTAACCACATGACAAACGACGAAAGTTTTTTATTTAATGTTCGAAAGATAAATAACCAATCAATTGTTGTTGCAACTAAACGTAAAAGTGAAAGTGATGAGCGTTGGTGACATGAAAATAGTTCTCTAAGGTGAACAAATTAAATGGAACTCTTAAGAATGTTGAGTATGTGCCAAATTTATGTGCGAATCTTTTGTCAGTGCACCAAATGATAAAAACGGATAAGTAAATAGTGTTCGAAAAAAAAAACGTAAAATTTTTGACAGCAAACGCAATTTTATGTCAACTGCGGTATTACTAATATATATAAGCCAATTTATATATTGGCTTATATAAATTAAATTGCGTGCCATTACGTACAATTAAAAACATAAACAATGCTAAATCACTGCTGGTCAAAAATGATTTTAACATTTGGCATCGCAGAATGGGACATATTTGCAACCAAAGTTTGGCTGATGTCAAATTGCTTTGTAATAGTGTTAATATTGATAAATTCCCATCCGAGAAATGTGCTTCATTTAAATAAAAATGAAGCTACGCGAGCAACAGAATTATTAAAATTAGTGCACTCCGACGTACTTGGACCCTTACGAACAAAATAATTTTCTGGTGTACGATATTTATTAACACTCATTGATGATTCATTGATGATGAAAGTTATTTGTATTCCCAATTAAAGAAAAATCCGACGTTTTCAATAAATTTATTGATTTTAAAAATATAGTTGCAAATCAATGTTCTTAAAAGATAAAAACGCTACGCACGGATACGGTCGCGAATACATTTATAGAAATTTCTCGAATTTTTTGAAAAAATGTAGAATAATTCATCAAACAACAGCGCCATATACACCAGAACAAAACGGAGTCGGAAAGAATGTACCGTACAATTGTTGAACGTATTCGCTGTGTTGTGAGTTAAATAATTAGTTTATTTAATTTGAATATTTGACAATTTTTCCGTATAGTATTTTATTTGTGTACGATCTTAATTGATCGTACATTTCCCTAAAAGTAGGCCTGCCAAAATCTTCGTTTGAGCTCGCATAACAGACGCCATCGTTTCAAAGTGCTCAATTTGTTGTCGGAGACGCCTTGCGCGGTTCTTGCGACAGCGTGTGGAGAGTACCTCCTATCTACAGATGTGCTGGTGTTAGCGCCTCTTTATCGTTTGAGTCTTGACTCAATGAACTGTGTGGCCGAGAATTTAGCAGGGCTTCTACCTCTATGAGCACTGTTTGCAGTTCTTCGCTGGTAAGGAGCGCACTGTTGGTTGTTCGTTGTATGTGGTGTTTTGCTGATTTTACCGCCGCTTCCCATAATCCTCCGAAATGAGGTGCCCTGGGTGGTATGAAGACAAACTCTATGCCCCTTCGTGCAGCATAATATGCCAGATCGTCCTTGCGCTCTTGAAACGCCTCTATCAGCTCTCTCAGCTTGCGAACAATGTATGCATGCTCTTAGGGTTTTACTGCATGCCTTGCTTGAATTTATGACCCAAATTTTTTCACGAAGCAGCACTTCTAAGGCTTTTGGACCAGTATGACAATTGGTTATATGAAGAAATCGTAAATAAATCTCGACAAAATGCAATTTTTTTGGTAACAGCAAGGGAAATTTTGAATCATAAGAAAGTGGTGCGTTTAGTAAACGACCTCCTACACGAGGCAAATTGCATGTTCGAGAACCATCTTGGACTGTATGAATGAACGGAGTTAGTTTTTGAATACTAACTGGTAATTTATGCGACTTCTTCATTTTTTCGATCTCATCCCTGAATTTGTGATTTTGAATGAATTCAACGATTTTCAAAAATGCCCAATTAAGCTTCTTTGTGGTCGGAATAAGAGCGTTAGCTCTCTCATTTTTCTTAGTTATAAAACGTAGAATGTACTCGAAAATTCTCAGCAGTCTTGGGTAAGATGATTGGCTACAGATTAGTTTTGAAATGACATTAGTTTCAATTTCAACTGCTAAAAGTCCGACCTTAACTTTTCGTTTCTCCAAACTTTTTTCACTATTTTTTGACTATTTTTTGTCCAGTTAGTAGCATCTTGAAGCAAATTTGGGGGACTTTTGAACCATATTGAGGTATTAAGCTCGTTGACAGTAGAACCTCTGGAAACTATATCTGCTGGATTTTGTTTTGGCGGAACGTGTCTCCACAAAACGTCGTTTGACCATTCTTGAATTTCTGACACTCGATTTGCCACAAATGTTGTGAGTGTAGACGGATGACTCTTGATCCAATATAATGTTATTTCTGAGTCAGTCCAAAAATATGCATTCTTGACGGCACAAGTAATGAGTAGCTGTACTCGAGTCCATAGTTTAGCCAGAAGGTGAGCTGCATATAATTCGAGTCTGGGTAAAGACTTTGTACTGAGCAAAGCGACCCTTAATTTAGCAGTGAGCAACACTGTATGGATATCATTAGAGTCGTGAGTTCGGATGTAAATACAACAGCCATAAGCTCTTATCGAAGCGTCTGCGAAACCGAGAATTTCGCATTTGGAATTCGAGATCACATTTACATATCGTGGAATTGCGATATCATCCAGTGAAGACAAATCCGCTTTGATGGCTTGCCAACTGGTGTCAAGGTGCATAGGTATCGATTCATCCCAATCAAGTTTTTGAAGCCAAAGTTCTTGCAACAATATTTTTGCTTTAGTGATAATTGGACAAATAAAACCGAGGAGGTCGAAAAGTCGAGCTGAAACCGACAATATGTTTCTCTTTGTCGCTCGTAAATGATTGAATTTTTCTTCTCATTTTTCTTTTCATCATTCTTTGGCAACCAATGGATTCCAAGGGCCTTTGTAATATCACTGTCATTGACTTTCAACGGTTTTTCTAACAGCTCGGTGCTTTCATAGGCTGAGTGGTTTGAGAACCATTTCGCTAATTGTAATCCTGCTTCATTGAGAATATAACTGACTTCTTTCCGAATTGTTTCTAAATTTTCAAAATTATCCGAACCAGTAAGCAAATCATCGACATAAAAGTCATTGCGTATTGAGCTTGCTCCCCTGGGATAAGTAAGTTGATAAATATCGCTCAAATGGGTTAAGCAGCGAGTAGCTAGGAATGGTGCAGATGACGTACCATAAGTCACAGTGTTTAATTTGTACACCTTCAGTTAGTCGGACGAATTTTCTCTCCAAAGTATAAGTTGAAAAGTTCTGTCTGCCTCGTCAACTTCAATTTGACGGTACATTTTAACAATGTCAGCAGTTATTGCATACTTATGCATGCGGAAACGAATCAGGATTGAATACAAATCTTCTTGCACGATCGGACCGACCATTAGTAGATCATTCAATGACATCTGCGAAGATGTTCGACTTGATGTGTCGAATACAACCCGAAGATTAGTAGAAGTGCTCTGTGGTCGCAGAACACATTGATGGGGTATCAAGTAGTGAGGGGTTGCAGAAAAATTTTCGTTGGTTGATGTCATATGACCCAAGTTCCGATATTCTTTCATAAAATCCATATAGAGATTCTGTAAGATGGAGTCTTTCGAAAGTTTGCGCTCTAATGATAGAAAACGGCTTTTTGCTGTCTGGAATGAGAATCCTAAAAAACTTGGATTAGATTTAAAGGGGAGTTTCACCTTAAACCTGCCAAACAGTGTACGTTGAACTGTGCTGACAAATTTTGTCTCGCAAAGTTGTTGTTCCACAGTATATTTCTTAACCTTAATCTCCTTAGGAATTTCTTCAAATTCCCAGTATTTTTGTACAAGAGAGTTTAAGGAACAGTCTCTGTTAACTTTTCTTTATCTAAGCTTATTAGATTGCAAATTTTAGCATTGGGGCTTTCGGCATGTTTGTATCTTCCAAATACAATCCATCCGAGTAATGTTCTCTGGAACGTTGGAAAATTAGTACCTTGTTTTATTTGTCCAACCGACAACAGTTCGAAAAAGCTTTCGGCACCAAGTAGAAGATCTATCTTTTGCGGTTTGTGAAAGTGTGGATCAGCAAATGAAAGATTGGAAGGAACATTCCAATTACTCATTGACACAAATTTGTCGGGTTAGTAAGTGGAGATTGAAGGCATTACCCAAAAATCAGTAGAAAACTCATAAGAGTTAATACGTGATCTCACAGTAGCATGTAATTTTTGCCGTACTGTGGAGTTTGTTTCACCAATGCCAATTAGGTTTAGAGTTTTCGCTTCTTTTTTTATTTGCAGTCGTTGTGCAAGTTCCTCGGTTATAAACCGTTCAGTAACTGGGAGGGCAGCAAAGGCGGAGCATGAATTTATTACATGTTCCTTCGCATTACAGAACAAACATCTACTTTCCTCTTGCGAACTATTTTTTTTTTGCACATAAGTAGAGATTTTGCATTCTTACTTTCCCAGTTGTCCTGTTTTGGCCTGTTCGATAGAGACCTTGATGTGGAAGCTTCGTCAGCAGAAATGTGTTGATATCGCTTATTTAACGCAGTCTCGCAATCAGACCAGAGTGGCAGCTTGTTGTAATCTAATTGCTCCTCCCATTTAGATTTCGTAGCGGCATCGACTCTTGACATGACTAAATGAATCAGAATCACATTTGAAATATTCTTATCACCTCCTATCGACAATAGGGACTTATATATGGCAGAAACAGTATCTATTATATTGCGTAATGCAGAAGCAGATGGCTTGTTCATTTCTGGAAGTTCAAAAAGCTGTGAGATACTATCGAAGAAGATAAAACAAGTGTTATCGTAAACTCATTTTAAACTAGCTAATGCCTTTAAGTAATTTGTTTCAGTGAGTTGAAATGCCTTAACTGTACCAAGAGCTTCGTCAGATAAACATGAAATGAGATGATTGAATTTTTCAATATCAGTTAGCGACTGATCATTGTGCACTAAGCTTTCAAAAAGGCTTATGAAGTTTTTGTATTCAGAATGTTTCTCGCTAAATATAGGTAAACGTTTACTTGGCAGCCTGGAACGATGATTGCTGCATTCATGCGAAGTATCAGGGATACTGTACTTGCGGATTTTACCTAACGCCTGTAAGAACAATGATTTTGAAGCAACACAGATTTCTTCTAGATCTGGTCGAAATACATCAGACTCGTTGATACATTCTATTTTTTGCTGGCAAGTCATGGCCTGTTTAATATATGAGTTGAGAATGTCCAACCTACATTCCAGTTCTACAGGGTTTAAATCAAGAGTTTTCTCCAATATTACTTTTTTAATACGCAGGATACTGGCCACTACAGTTAGTCGCTAGTTTATCCAAATCTTCATTTTTTTGTGGGGATGATGATCGCTTTTTAGTTGACATAGTGAACACAATTTACTAGAATTTCGAAAGAGAAGGCGCAAAGAACGATAATAATATTTGAGTATTGTTGAGCGACGTTGTAAGTATATTCCAACAAAAGTGAACGCGAAAAATTAACGAAACGAAAGATGCACTCACTTTGTTTATAACGATAATAAGGAAAAAACGATAAGTAGTCAAATATTGTTATTATGGATAAATTTTAGCAAAGTGGATGCGAGTAACTAGCGAAAACAAAAACGAAAAATGCATTCACTTTGTACATAATTTGCCTCTGCAAATTACTCAATTATTTGTATTAAACAATTAGATTTACCGAAAGTATATGTTTAATGAAGCTCAACCTAAACTTGGTAAATTTGTTTCACGTTTTGTAAATTATTTATTATAGATACGAATAAATATAAACATACGTATTTTAAAAGTGCAAATAATTACCAGTGCAAAAGTTATTTGAAATACTTTCATTGACTATTTTGTTTAGTCAGAGCATGACCTGGTACAACAATTTCATTACTTGCACTTTCTTGCCTGACAAAGGGCAGTGGTGTTACAGTTGCACTCCATCCAGAAAGAGAAAGAAACAGCAGCAGTGGTGAATAGCAGCAGCAATGAAGAGCAGTATCAATCTGCAGCGACAGCGAACAGCAGCAGCGATATGCAGTAGCAGCGGCCAGTAGCAGCAATGTGGAATTAATGGCAGTAACTGCAGTAGCAGCGGCCAACAGCAGCAATGAGAATTAAGCAGGAAACTGCAGTAGCAGCGGCCAACAGTAGTAATGAAGAATTAAGCAAGGAAAAACCAATAGCAGCAGCCTGCACGTGTTTTCATCAGAATATATGAAATTGGCTGCTTCTTTGTCAATTTGTTGATTCTTTATTTCTCTTTTTTATTAGCGGTTTTTTACCTGATGCTGATACTTGACACCACACCGACATTCACCGCAACCACTTCACACGTGGAAAATGAAAAATTAAACCGAACCAAAATCACGATGCTGCCAGTTGCAGCTCCACAGAACAATGTTCACCAAATTTCACTTTTTTTTTTAAAAATTTCAAATTATTTTATTATTCGATTTCAAGCCCCTGCTCGGGCGCCAAGAAAAAATGCAAGAGTTTTTACATTTGTTTTTAAATTTATTAATTAATAATAATTAAAATATAATTTTAAAGTAGGAAAACACTTCTTTATAATTCATTGACTAATAAATTCGAAAAAACTAGAAATTTAAATTTACGAGGATGCCAGTTCAATAGTGAAGCTAAAAAACTGTAAAAATTAATGTTGTTTTTATATTTGAGAGTACCGTATATGTGCAAGATTAACGAAAGTCAACATTGGGCTGCATATTGACAATAAAAAATGAGCAGCAAAAAATCTGTCATTTATATATTGACAATATCATAGTTTATTCACAGACCATTGAACAACATAAAGAAGATTTATTGAAAATAATACAACGTTTAAAAGAAGCATATATGAAAATTTCATTGGAAAAATCAAAGTTTTTTCAAAAAGAAGTTGAGTTTTTAGGCTATATTGTTGCCCATAATACTATAAAAACAGACCCAAATAAAGTAGCTACTATTAATGAATACCCATTACCACATACTCTTAGACAGCTTAGAAGTTTCTTAGGTATGACAGGCTTTTATAGAGAGTTCATAAAAGATTATGCTTTTGTTACAAAGCCACTTATGAAATATTTAGCTGGAGAGAATGGCAGAGTATCTACATTTAGCTCGAAGAAAATAGAAATAAAACTAGACGAAGAAGCAATTAAATCCTTCGAAAAACTAAAGAAATTATTAGTAAATCAAATGAAACTTATACAACCTAATTACGATTCAAAATTCGTGTTAACTACTGACGCGTCGAACGTGGCAATTGGTGGGGTACTTACCCAAAAAGGCAATCCCATCACCTTTATATCTAAAACATTGAATCAAACAGAGCAAAATTATGCTACAAACGAAAAAGAATTATATGCAATAGTGTGGGCACTAAAATCATTACGAAACTACTTATACGGGGTCTCAGATTTAGAAATTCATACTGATCATCAACTCTTAACATTCGCCGTATCTACGCGAAATCATAGCGCCAAGAAAAAAGATGGATTGCATTCGTTGAAGAATTTGCATCAAAAATTATCTACAAACCAGGAACCACAAATGTAGTGGCAGACGCCCTTTTACGGAAGTACTTAAATCATTTTGCAGAAAATTCTTCAATCACCTCTACACAACACTCTGCAGAAAGTAGTGATAACACTATCATAAAACAAACGACCAAACCACTTAACCAATTTAAGCAGCAGATCCTATTATCAAAAGCTAGATATACGATACATGAACAAGTTACAAATTTCGATAAAACAAGACATATTATAGAATATGATACAGTCGAAAATCTTTTAACAATTCTGAAGGAATACCTTCAACCCACAGTTGTGACTGCAATCCATTGCACACCTGAAGATCTTTACGAAATTAAGAACCACTTAATCGAAACATTCACTCACATAAAATCACGTACACTAAGAATTTTCTAATAGATGTCCTCAATACACATACACGTGCACACAGAAGTTATAGGGAAAATTTAAAGCAAAGCTTTATCACATATTATTGACCCAAAATAACCCAACATTTTAAAGAATTCATAAGACATTGTGGGATTTGTAATAGAAATAAATATAATAGAAAGCCTGAGAAGGTGCCAATTGGCGGGGCACCAATTCCCAAGAAGGAGGAAGAGTTAGTCCATCTCGAAATCTTCTTCTCGCAAAGACTTATATTCATTACTTGTATCGATGGTTATTCAAAATATCTGTTCATTACACAAATTGAAGACAAAACAAAACTCGATGAAAAAGTGTTGGAACTTTTACTGTCATTCCCAGAGGCAAAACAAATTACCTTAGATAACAAACCAGGGTTCTCGACATCTCAGTTAAGTCATTAATGAAACGAATGAGTATTAAAGTTAATTATTGTGACCCGCTGCATAGCTCAACGAATGGACAAATAGAAAGAGTTCATTCAACGGTAATCGAAGTAGCAAGATGCTTAAGACAGGAATTTAGTATTGTAAACGATTTAGAAGTTATATCTAGAGCCGTTCAACAATATAACAAAACAATTCATACGGTTACTAACTACAAACCGCAAGACATATTATATAATAAAATAGACCACCCCGATATACCAGAAAAATTAGCAAAAGCACAAGAAACTATATTAAAAAGAAATGACAAATTAAAAGGTTTGAAAACGTACAAACCTAACGAAACAATTTATGAAAAGGTAAGAGGTAAAAGAAGCAAGTTAGATGTGAAATATAAAAAACAGATAGTAAAAGAAGACCTAGGGAAGAAAGTTAAAATCCATTACAGAAACAGAATAGTACACAAAGATAATATAAGAACTTAACTTTATTTGCACTTTACAGACAATGGACCGATTAATCATTGCACTTATCACCTTATTCGGAATCGCGAAAACGGAAATAATAATTGACTATACGAGGGAAGATTACGTACTAGTAGACAACAGCGACGCAGTAATTTCCAAAAAATTTGGTGATATTTTTCATATAACAAATTCAGCATACATTAAGGAAATAGTAGAAGTAACCAGAAATGAAATTAATGAAAACATCGTTGTTAGATTAGAAACAAAAAATAATAAATCTACGACACATATTGACAGTTTAGACATACAATTAGAGCCACATCTGTTAGACACGATATTATCACAATTACAAAAGTCTTATCATAAAAGAAAATGAGGAATTAACGAAGTAGACACACTTTGGAAATGGATAGCAGGGTTTCCAGATCATGATGATCTTGTAACTATTAATAACAAATTAAACGAACTAGCAGAGAACAATAACAAACAACTAACAACCAACTCGCAAATATTTAAAGCTATATTTAGTATAGACAAGATGATCCAAAATTTAGAAAAAAGTTTGCATAAGACAAAAGTAACGAAACAAACAAACAGACTAATACTAATTGAACTACAGAACCTATTACAAACAGTCACGCTAGCTAAGGCAGGTATATTAAACATAGTGATACTAGATTTAAAAGAAATCCAAGACATAATCAAACACGAGAATACCAGAGTCACCTTAACAGATTTAATGGTCGTATCCAAATTCAAAATTTTACAAAACCCAGATTTAATAGTAATATATATTACATATCCTATTATCAAAACCAATTGTCAACTATATGAAAGTGGAGCTATAAGTAAAAAAAATGGCAAATTATTAATTGAAAAAGAAGTTGTAAGATGTAATAAGATATTTCAAAATGTTTAAAAGTGTAAAATAAAACTAAGTAACAATTTTTGTAAACTATCCTTAAATAAGAGCTGTTTAACAAATCTATTAAATCACCCTAAAGCATAATGTACTAAAATAAAAGAAAAGAATAGAAATTTAGAAATAATAAAAGATGGTGCAATACTCGTCTCAGGCAATGACGAAGTTGACATACAATGTAAGGATGGAAATTTTGCACAAATTTCCAACCTACATATTATGACTTTATTGTTACTGGTGAAATAAAGTGCATTAAAATTAACATTTATTTATTATATAAATACTTACCTAGAATCACTCCCCAGCACACTCGGCTACAGCATACTTTAATAGTTGGATGTTTCTATAAATGAATTTATTAAATATAATTATCATTTAGTAAATTGGAAAACAATTATAAATACCTTTGCACTACCACTTTACGCACGTCACTTGGAGTAATTTAAACAAAAAGGGGAACTTCGTTTATATAAATAA